GGAGTTGAAGAGCGGTTAAGGACTCAGTCTTGGGGGCGGCCCGGGGCCAGGTCCTGGGCTGAGGGTTGGAGGGGAAGGGACAGCCCTTCTTAATGCCACCCTTGCTGCCTGTTGCCTAGCACCACAGCAAATAGTGCTGCTGGTAGGCCCTGCCCTTGCTCCCTCGGCTCCCCTCTGACTGGCAATGGCTGTCAAATGACCAACCCCAGAGGCTTTGCCAACCTCCTCCCCTGGAATATTTTAGAGGTAAGTCAGAAAATGACCAGCTGCCTCCAAAACTCGACTTTTTCTCGTGCATACCTTACAAGGGTATATTTGGCTGCCCTGGGTGTTAATCTCCCACCCCCTTGCACTACACAGAGAGATATAAATATACGCCAAAGGCAGCACACTCAGAAACTTGGATTAAGGACCACATACTCGGGCCCCAGTGACACACAGAAGACACTCCACACAGCTGCTTATGAGCCCTCCCTCCCACACACTTCAGTCCCCAGTCTCCTGTAGGTACACAATCACACACACAACTATACACACGCCCCACAACACAGTCACAACAGCCAGCCACACAGACACTCCACAACCAGCACAATCACCACACACACAATCACTCCCCCATGATTATACAGTCACATATCCGCATGGGGTACATTCACACGGACAGGTACTCCACAGTCGTCAGAGTCACACGTTGACGCACCATCCCACAGCCTCCCCCTCCACAGAGCACACACATAACCACGTGGTGTTCACATAGCTGGCAGCGGGCACACAGATCACAACGCACAGCCCACAAGTGGTCCGCCCGCCCGCCCACCCCCCCTTTACTCAAGGCCTCTCTGATTAAACACATCCAGCCCCTCTGCTGGTTACAGTGAACAGCATTCTTCTGCGATTGAGTCAAAGACCTCCCCAGACAGAAGGGCTAAGTGGAAAAAAGGCTTCATAAGGGAGAATGTCCGAGGCCCAGGTCTGGGAAGCGGCCTGGCAGCTTCTCGCTTAGGGAGACAGCCTTCAGTGTTGCGTTTGATCCTGACAATTGTGGCCTAAGGACTTGGGGGAGGGGGCACGCCTTGGAGTGGGCAGAAGCAGGGCGGGTGGGGGGCGACAGGTGGAGCAAGCGGAGACCCCTGGAAACCTCGCAGCGTGAGGGCGCAAAGCGGTGTTAAATATGGACTGAACCTTAGAGGCTTAAACCCTCCCACGCAGTCCTCCCACCTCCCTTCCCCAGGCTCCGGACTGTCCCCAAACGTACGGGGTGTAGTGTTACCCCTCCTCCGCCAACCCTCGGCGACAGCTGCGGGGCACAGCACTCAGGCGAGGGGGCATCGCAGGGCGCCGGGCGGCGGCTGACACCCCCGAACTCCTGCGGGCGGCGGGCAGAGTGCGGGGTCCCTCGAGGTCCCCAACCCCACACCCTGCCCCCCTCCCGGGCCGGTCGGGCAGGGCAAGCGCTCTCCTGAGGCTGCGGAGCCACCTTCCTCCACTGCCCCCCCCCGCCCCGCCCAAACTGGGACCCTCGGAAGGGAAGGGTGGAGAGAAAGAAGGTTCGGGAAGACCTCAGGGGGACTGGTTTTGGAGACGCCGACCCCCTCCCATACCTCCCCCCACACCCTCCGCTGGTCGCGGGAGGGGCGGCCTCTCCCCGCCCCCGGGCCGCGCGGCCCTCTCCCTCCTCCCGCGGCGGGAGCCTGGGCCAAGTGGGCGCGCCCGGCCCGGGGCCGGCGGGATCCGGTGTCGGCTGCAGCTGGCAGTGCGGCGGACGGGCGCGGGCGGCCTGGGGGGCCAGCTATTAATACCGCGGCCGCCCAGCCCGGGTCGCGCAGCCATGGCCAGCCCCGAGCCCCGGCGCGGCGGGGACGGCGCCGCCGAGGCCGCGAGGTAGGAAAGGACCGTCCCGGGGCCGCGTCGCCGCCCCCTGGGGAAGGGGTGCTGGACGGATCCCCAGCCCCCGCGAGCGCCTTTCGCCGGGCGGGGGCGGGGGTCCAGCCTGGGTGGGGCACGGGGCGGAGCCACCCGCGAAGGGAGATCGGGGCGTCTCGTCCCGGCCTGGCACCTCCGGTTGTCTGGGACTTTTTATAATTACCCCTCCCCCTCCCACGGGCGGTGCGAGGATTAACCGCTTCACACTAGCGGGCACCAACCGTCAGATGCCATTCGGCCCCCAGTGGCCAAAGACGCTACCCGTTTTCTTTCGTTGCTCACCCCAAATGCAGCTGGAGATGGAGGCCTCCAGTTGCTGAATTTGCCGTGTGGAAGAGACTTCGTGCAAGGTTGGGCGGCTGCCAGCTTGGAGTTGAGCGTGTTCAAGCAGCCGGTTCTCTCTGGTCTGGGGCTTGGGGTGGTGTTGGAGGGGGCGGGGTTGGGGGGAGAGTCTACTGTCCCAGGCCAGCAAGAGGGCCTTGGTTGGCAGGGGCCCTGGAGGGGAGGCCCTCTCCAACATTCAACGGTCAGTTCCGCCACTGGTTAGCGGGGAAGGGACCTGTGGCTGAAGGATTTGGGGCGAGTAGGGAGCATTTCTGCCCCAGGTCAGCCTGTAGCCCTGGACTTCCTCTTGTACCAAGAGGTAGAGGTGCAAACACACACACACCTGACACCCCTCCCCTGTCACCCAGGGCACAAAGCTGAGCCTTGTTTTACATGTGCACTCACATGTACACACAGAGGGGTACACACAGAGTCACACACCAACTCACGCCTGCACAGTAACACAAACACTCCCAGTCACATCCCTGATGGGTTGGGAGCTGCTGGGGGACAGGGACAGGGACAAAGTGGCAGAGAGGGAGGCTGCTTGGAGCCCAAGGAAACCTGAGGTCAGGGGCCCCAGTTAAGCTGGCCCCCTTGCCCCTAGGCCTCCCATAATCTACTTTTCCCCAGCTCCTTAGAAAGAGACAGCAGTGTGAGGGCAGCACCTAGCAGAGGCCTGGCACTGTGGATGGGGTGACTGAGTGGTGTGTGGTAACAGCACTGCCTGCAAGTCAGGAGACCTGGAATCTACTTCCAGCTTTGCCACTCGACCTTGGGCAAGTTTCCTCCCTGGAGCTCAGTTGGTTGCTGTCTGCCTACCTTCTACAGAGCCCCACCCTGGGATACAGAGAGAATAACTGTACTTGTTGTTAGGAAATGGACTATCAGGGGAGACAGATACATGCTCTTCTGTAACACAAAGCACTTAGTTGAAAGATGAGCTGTCTACAAAGTGCCTTGAGAACACAAGAATGGGAGTTGTCTGGGAAATGCTTAACAGAGGAGGTGGAGTTTGAGCAGGGTTTGAAGGATGAGCAGAAATTTAAGTAAATAGATATAAATATATTTTGAACGCTAGGGCCGAGCTCTATTATACCTGCCGTAGTTGTTTTACCTCTTTCAGATCTTATGCCTGTTCTAAGACGAGAGTGGTAAAAAGGAGCTCCGGCTCTGGAGCCAGACTGCCGGCCTTCGCCAGGCTCTACCAAGTACGAGTTGTAGAACTTTGAGTGAGTTCTTTACTCTGTGCTTTGGTTTCCTAATCTATAAAGTGGGGATAATGGATGAGCATCCTATAAATGAGTATTTATGGGAAACGCTTAGAATACTTCCTTGAACACAATTACGTTATTCCAGGGTGGAGTACTCAGCTGGAGCATGATGTGAGGGCCGTCTGCTGGCAAAGCAGGGACTCTCTTGAGGATCCGGGTGGGTCTGGCTAGCTGAGCAGGTGCATCCTTCCTGGCATTAGGAACTCTACTTTTCCAGGTAGTGTAGGACTGTTCTCTAGTCAGATGGTATACAATGAACTGTATTTTCTCAGCTGGACCCTTTAGACATTGTGGGATAGGAGTAGGAGGTTTAAAGTTAACGCATGTTACGGGTTGTCAAGCATTGGGTGGGCTATGGGTAGTAATGTGAGATGAGGCTGAAGAGGTATGTTGAGGTCACATCTTTAAGGGCCTTAAATCTATGCTAAGCAGTTGGCTATATATGGTGAAGTGGAGCAAGATGGTTTGCTTTATATTATAGCAAGCTGCAACACTGTCAAGTATAGACTGGGATGAGAAGGAAGAAGGCTTATGGGAAGGCTGGTATGAAAGTGCGGGTGAGGGATGATGACTCGGACGAGGGTCCTGGCAGTGGGGTGAAGAGGGAGATAGAGACTGGAGACTTTCTGAGATAGAAACGTCAGTTCTTAGTGAGTTGGCTGTTTAAAGACCACTTGTCTATCAACAGAGGGATGGATAAAGAAGATGTGGTACATATATATGATGGAATATTACTCAGCCATAAAAAAGAATGAAATAATGCCATTTGCAGCAATATGGATGGACCTAGAGACTGTCATACTGAGTGCAGTTAAGTCAGACAGAGAAAGACAAATATCATATAATATCACTTATATGTGGAATCTAAAAAAAAAAAAAAAAGGTACAGGGACTTCCCTGGTGGTCCAGTGGGTAAGACTGCACGCTCGCAATGCAGGGGACCTGGGTTTGATCCCTGGTCAGGGAACTAGATCCCACATACATGCTGCAACTAAGAAATCTGCATGCCGCAACTAAAGATCCCACATTGCTGCAGCTAAGACCCAGCACAGCCAAAATAAATAATAAGAAGAAGTAAATAAATATTTTAAACAATGGTACAAATGAACTTATTTACAAAACAGAAATAGAGTCACAGATGTAAAACACAAACTTATGGTTACCAGGGGGGAAAGGGGAGGAAGAGATAAATTGGGAGATTGGGATTGACATATACACAGTACTATATATACAATAGATAACTAATGAGGACCTACTGCACAGCACAGGGAACTCTACTCAATACTCTGTAATGACCTATACGGGAAAAGAATCTGAAAAATTAGAGTGGATACATGTATATGTATAACTGATTCACTTTGCTGTACAACAGAAACTAACACAACATTGTAAATCAACTGTACTCCAATTAAAAAACAAAAAAAATACTGCTTGTCTCGTCAGCCTGGTGTATGGTGATATATTTCTCTGAGCTGGAAAATACAGGTGTAACAAGCTCAGGGAGAAGGATAATTTGGTGGCAGTTGAGTTTGAGGTGCCAAGTAACATCAGATGAAGATATCTAAAAAAACACTCCAGGGCTTCCCTGGTGGCGCAGTGGTTAAGAATCCGCCTGCCAATGCAGGGGACACAGGTTCGAGCCCTGGTCCGGGAAGATCCCACATGCCGCGGAGCAACTAAGTCTGTGCGCCACAACTACTGAGCCTGTGCTCTAGAGCCTGCGAGCCACAACTACTGAAGCCTGCACACCTAGAGCCCGTGCTCCGCAACAAGAGAAGCCACCGCAATGAGAAGCCCATGCACCGCAACGAAGAGTAGCCCACACTCGCCGCAACTAGAGAAAGCCCGCGCCCAGCAACAAAGACCCAACTCAGCCAAAAATAAATAAATAAATGCATTTATAAAAAACAAAAAAAGCACTCTATCTCTGGTAAAGTGAAGTGAATGGACTAGGTGATTGTTGAGTTGTCATTAAGTTTTAGGTTTTGGTGCAGGTGCTGGGGTTGAATGAGGCCAGTGATGTTTGGGGCCTGGTGAAGACACACTTTTGTGGTTTCCAGAGGGCCATCAGGAGATACAAAAGGGAAGCCAGAGATTCCTGGGGTGTAGAGAGGAGGACTGAGAACACGATTTAGAATAAAAATAATCTTTATTGGGAACTTGGAGCTGAGAAATAGAGCTGAAAACCTGGACACAAGTAAGCCTTTGCAAGATAAATCAAATTCTTTGATATGTGAGGCTTTTCATTTATACTTTATATCTTAAAAAAGAAAAGTTTATTGAAAGCTACACTCAAATTTAGTCTGTTTTATAAGTGGTGCACTCTGAGTATCTGAGTTTCCTTGAGCAAATTACTTAATCTCTTTGACCTCCATTTCCTGATCTGTAAAATGGGAATAATAAACGTAACCACCTCATAGAATTGTTATGAGGATTAAATGAATTGATATATGTAAAACATTTAGAACAGGGCCTGGTATATATAAGACCTTTAAAAGTATAATTTATTATTATTTCCATGGTATTTTATATTTTCAAAGAATTGCTCAGAGATCCAAGGTAGGTAAGATGCATTTGAAACAGGAAAGACCAAAGCCACTTGAGGGCCAAAGCAGCAGGAGAGCATTCCTCAACAGGAACTGAGTAAGCTAGCAGGCAACGGGCAGCTGGGTTAAGGGGCTCATCTGTTAGAATCGCAGAATCTGAATTCAAGAGCATTGACAGGCTAGAAGGATGGGCCAATTCCAACAAGATGAAGTTTTATAGGAACAAGAGATGTGGTTTAAAAGCACTTGGTGTGAAAAAGTCTTCAGGATTTTAGTCAAACTCAGCATTTATCAAGAATATGATGGAGCTGCCCTATATGCTAAGGGCATCTTGACTGCAACAATAGGAGTATAGTGTCCAGAGAATCACTGCTCAGAGTACACCTAGGTATTGCTTCCTATACCCATCCGCAAGGGATAGCGAGCCTGTCAACTTAGAGCCTGTCAGAAAGAAGTGACCCAAATGAGGAGGGTACTGGAAACCCTGGCATGCATGGAATAATTGAAGGATAAATCAGTTCTCTTTAAATGTTCAAAGAACTTACATGGAAGAGAAATTAGATTTGTCTGATTCTAGAAAGAAGAATCAAACCCAGGGAAAAATTGCAGGGAAGGTTTTACCTCAACACTAGAATTTTCTTATGATGGTGGAACATATAGTAGCTCAGGTGTGAGTTTCCAGTCCTTGAAGGTATGTAAGCAGAGACTCGACACTGACATGATGGGGATGGTGTCAGATCTAAGCAATGGGCTGTGTCGGGGTGGATCGATGGAGGGAAGGGGCAGACGTGTGCTCTCTGAGATGTGAGAATTTGATATAAATTAGGCCTGTGTCCTACTGGCTCCAGTCACAAACCATCCCAGGACTGTGGCTGCCCTCTCACCTTGTCATTTCTTTTGCAGGAACACAAGAGCAGAGGCCACTTCTCTTCAAGAGGAGAACTCTGAATCCCCGTATGAGGTGGGGACCTGGAACCCAGAAGTTACTCTGTCTTTGGAAGGGACCTTGAACTTAGAGGATATTCTCTACCCAGGGGACACAGGTGACTTAGATGTGGCTATGTATGTGGAAGAGACCGAGAAGCCTGAGGAGACGCTGCATATTGAGGAGACCAGGACGCCTGATGAGGCCCTGTATGTGGAGGAGCCAGGAAAGCCAGAGGAGATGCTGTATGTGGAAGAGCCCGTGAAGCCGGTGAAGACTACAAGCCCAGAGCAGATGGTTTATAGGGGAGAGACAGTCCCGAGCGAGGAGAAACCTAACCCCGAGGAGAGCCTCAGAGCTGGGCCGAGTCCCAGCACAGAGGGGAGCCTGAGCACAGAGGACCTGGAATTGCTGGAGGGGCGTTTCCAGCAGTGTGTCCAAGCCGTGGCCCAGCTGGAAGAGGAGAGGGATCAGCTCATCCATGAGCTTGTGTTGCTCCGGGAACCAGCCCTGCAGGAGGTACAACGGGTCCACCACGACATCCTGGCTGCCTACAAACTGCACGCCCAGGCAGAGCTGGCGAGGGATGGGCTGAGGGAGGAGATCCGGCTGGTCAAGCAGAAGCTGTTCAAGGTGACAAAGGAATGTGTGTCCTACCAATATCAGCTGGAGTGCCGCCGGCAGGACGTGGCCCAGTTTACCGAGTTCCGGGAAGTGCTGACCGCCCGGGCAGCCCAGCTCTCGGAGGAATTAGCCCAGCTTCGGGATGCCTATCAGAAGCAAAAGGAGCAGTTACGGCAACAGCTAGAAGCACCTCCAAGCCAGAGGGATGGGCACTTTCTCCAGGAGAGCCGGCAGCTCTCTGCCCAGTTCGAGAACCTCATGGCAGAGAGCCGCCAGGGCCTGGAGCAGGAGTATGAGCCTCAGCTGCTGCGGCTCCTAGAGAGGAAAGAATCTGCGGCCAAAGCTCTGCAGAAAACCCAGGCCGAGATCCAGGAGATGAAGGAGGCTCTGCGACCCCTGCAAGCAGAGGCCCTTCAGCTCCAGCTGCAAAACAGGAATCTGGAGGACCAGACCACCCTCGTGAGGCAAAAACGAGACGAGGAGGTGCAGCAGTACAGGGTAGGCCCACTTGGCATGAAAGGAAGTGCAGTCTTTTAGCCTGGGGAGGAAAAGGGGATCGGGGCCAAATGTCTTTGGGCTGAAGGATACTAGCATATGTAGGAAGAACCGTTTGTTCCTTGGGCCATTCACTCACTTCTTTACGCCATTTTCCATTTCATTCATTCAGGCCTGTGCTAGGGCTGAAAGTTATCTTGCACTCTTAATTTACACAGCACTTTTACACCAAATATCTCACTTGATCTTCATTAATCCTCCAAGTCAACTATTATCATTTTTCATAGATGAGGAAACTGAGGCCCAGTGAGTTGGAGTAATTTGAACTCTAGTCTGCCCACCCCCAAATATTTCAGTGCTCTTTTCACGGCACAAGTTTCCAATTCTAAGTGAATCACACTTGGGTTTATATAGAGCAGGAGGGAATGAGGCTAGGTAGTATTCATTCTCTCCCCTCTCCCATATTCACCCTCAAGTCCCACCTATCTGATCTCTGCCTTGAAGCTTTTCCAGTCTTAAAAAACTGGGATGAAATCTATAAATCTCAATTCCTCGTTTTCCTTTTTTGTGCATTTGTCACCATTTCCCTTGTATTCAAGCTATTTCTGATCGTGAGCCAGTTCTAATCCCTTTTAGAACGGAGTGGGAGACGAACACTAAGTGCATAAACAAGTCTCTCTCCCCCACAGACTGTGAGCTTTCAGAAGGTAGGGAGTATGTTTTACTTATCTCTGCCACCAGGCTCAGAGTATGCATCAGTTAAGCGCTGACTTAAGAGCTGCTGGGTACCATGAGAAGACCACAGTGTTGTGCTTTTCAGAGCAGTACTTTTGTCTTTTGGAAACCCCCCCTTTTTAAATTTTTTTATTTATTTATTTTTTTTGTGGTACGCGGGCCTCTCACTGTTGTGGCCTCTCCCATTGTGGAGCACAGGCTCCGGACGGGCAGGCTCAGTGGCCATGGCTTACAGGCCCAGCCGCTCCGCGGCATATGGGATCTTCCCAGACCGGGACACAAACCCGTGTCCCTTGCATCAGCAGGCGGACTCTCAACCACTGCGCCACCAGGGAAGCCCTGGAACCCCCCTTTTTTGGATGAACTTAATCTTACGCCCTGCCAGAGATTTTAACGTATCCTTAAGAGAACATGTCCTCTGTTGAAAATGGCTGCATTTACTTCAGTGAAGATTTTGTCAAGCTTTCTGTAGTTGTATTATGAAAACGGTGGGGTTTTTTGGTAATAATATTGAATGTTTTCAAACTATACATATATGCATTCCCCTCACTCACCCAACACTGCCCGCCGCCTTCACCGCACTGCTGTTTTACTGGGTCACAATCTAGTGAAAGGGCGCTAATTATCTTTGCATAAACAAATACTAACCTTAACAGCTTACACTCAATCAAATGTTACATGAATAATTGTGACCCAGGGTAGGAAGTAACGTGATTTAAGAGAGGTACAAATAAGAATGCTATGGGATAATAGCCGTGGATTAAATCAGAGAACCCATAATGGAAGACAATGTTACTTGAGCTAAGTGTTGAAGCATAGGTAAGATCTAGAGCAGTGCTGTCCAACACAAATAGAATGCAAGCCACATATATAATTTGAAATTTTCTAATAACCACATAAAAAGAGAAATAGGTGAAGGTAATTTTAATATATTTTATTCAATCTAATAGATCTAAAATATAATTTGTAACTTGGCTGCATGTGAAAGGTGAAAAACTGAGAGGTGAGTTGAACCTGTAAAGGTAAATCGGGGCAGATCACATTGGATTTTGAAATCCAAACTAGGGAGTTTGGACTTTATTCAGTGGTCAGTTGCATCCATAAAGGTTTTTATTTTTAAGAGCTTCTTTTTATTTTATTTATTTTTTATTTATTTATTTATTTAAAATTTATTTTTGGCTGTGTTGGGCTTTCTCTAGTTGTGTTGAGCAGGGGCTACTCTTTGTTGTGGTGTGCAGGCTTCTCATCGTGGTGGCTTCTCTTGTTGCAGAGCGTGGGCTCTAGGCGCACAGGCTTCAGTAGTTGTGGCACATGGGCTCAGTAGTTGTGGCACAAGGGCTTAGTTGCTCCGCCGCATGTGGGATCTTCCCGGACCAGGGCTTGAACCCGTGTCCCCTGCATTGGCAGGCGGATTCTTAACCACTGCACCACCAGGGAAGTCCCCATAAAGGTATTTAATCAAGAGATTAACATGATCATTGCTCTCCTTTTAGAAACAGTATTGGTGGCAGTGTGTAAAATGGGCTAGAGACCCAAAGGCAAGGAGACTACTATTGGTAAAAGGAAACAATGGTAGCAGGAATAAAAGGAAGGGGAAGGATACAAGAACAAATGTAGAATAAACTTGGCTACAGAATGAGGGGCAGAGAGGTGAGAAGTCAAAGAGGATGCTTAGATTTCAGGCAAGACTAACTAGGATGGTGGTGCTCTAAGTAAGGAATCCTCAGGATTAGAATTTTCTGACATAGTACTAGAGTGATTCCCCCAGTGATTTTCGTCACTGTACTGGATTTGTTTCAGATTTGATGATCTGTGCACCTTTCCAAAGATCATTCTATAGAAAACAATCTTGATGGGTGTCTCCTATCGCCATACCATAATTAAAGTAGGAATAAAGGTATGAAAGAGCTAATTCTTCTCTTTCTTTTCTTTTTTTAAAAATTTATTTGTTTTATTTATTTATTTTTGGCTGCATTGGGTCTTCGTTGCTGTGCACAGGCTTCCTCTAGTTGCGGCGAGCACAGGCTACTCTTCGTTGCGGTGCGTGGACTTCTCACTGAAGTGGCTTCTCTTGTTGTGGAGCATGGGCTCTACACACGTGGGCTTCAGTAGTTGTGGCTCGCGGGCTCTAGAGCGCAGGCTCAGTAGTTGTGGCGCACAGGCTTAGTTGCTCTGCGGCATGTAGGACCTTCCTGGACCAGGGCTCGAACCCGTATCCCCTGCATTGGCAGGAGGATTCTTAACCACTGCGCCACCAGGGAAGTCCCAATTCTTCTTTCTGAAATGGCTTCTTCCTAAACTGTTTGCCAAAGGCCATGTACGACATCTGATTACTTTTCAAGGGTACGCTTCACTCTTATGACTATAAACTTTGCCTCTTTCATCACCATCATCCATTCATTTGACAAATATTTTCTAAGTGCCTATTTTCTATGTGCCAGGCAATGAGCTATGTGCTGGCAAGGGATGAGACGTTGTGGTGTAGGGTGGAGGTGGGGGGCAGCCCCTGTCCTCAAAAAGTTTATAGTCCAATTAAAATATAATAATAATAATAATAAATAAAATGAACAAAAAATACAAAAAGTAAAAATTAAACAGGAAAAGAAAAGAAGAAACAAAAGTTTATAGTCCAGGAAGGATGCCAGATAAAATTTCATAAAATCTAATATACTTGATTGTAAGATGCATCCTGATCCAAGTAAGATGTTAAAGTGTGAGTTTTAGAATCAATGAAATAATTAATATGCTTCAGTGTGATAGACAATGTAATAGTTGTAGGAATAAAGCATTGTACTGAAGCAGGTATAATTACACCTGGGGAGATAAGGGGGAAATTTCATTAGAGGATTAACAATAGCTAGCACATACATGAAGTTCTTTACATGTAATAATTCATTTAATTCTTACATCTGAGATAGGTATAACTGCTGTCACCATTTGAAAAACAAGAAAACAGGTGAGTCAGAGAAGTCATCTGTCCAGGGTTACACAGCTAGGAAGTGATGAAGGAAGGATGTAACCCTGTGCCATCTAGTTCAAGTCCACACTCAACTACTACAGGGTGTTTGAGCTGAGCCTTAAAGAATGAATTCACTGTGTAGACAAGGGAAGGGTATTCTAGGCAGAGGGAACAGCTTATACAAAAGCATGAAAACACAGACGTTGTTATGGGAAGTGAGAAGCTCAGTGTGGCTGGATCATAAGGAATGTGAGAAGTAGAGAGATGAGGCTGGAGAGGTAGATTGGGACCAGATTGCAAAGGGCTTTATGTATTTTTTTTTTTTTTTTTGCGGTACGCAGGCCTGTCGTTGTGGCCTCTCCCGTTGCGGAGCACAGGCTCTGGACGCGCAGGCTCAGCGGCCATGGCTCACGGGCCCAGCCACTCCGCGGCATGTGGGATCTTCCCGGACCGGGGTACAAACCCACATCCCCTGCATTGGCAGGCCTACTCTCAACCACTGCGCCACCAGGGAAGCCCGGCTTTATGTATTCTTTAGGTCAGTGGTTTTCCTAAAAAGGTTTTCTTCAAAGCCACAGACCCTTTCCCCAAAACAATTTTTTTTTTTTTTTTTTTTTTTCTTGCGTTATGCGGGCCTCTCACTGTTGTGGCCTCTCCCATTTGCGGAGCACAGGCTCCGGACGCGCAGGCCCAGCGGCCACGGCTCACGGGCCCAGCCGCTCCGCGGCATGTGGGATCCTCCCGAAACGGGGCACGAACCCGCGTCTCCTGCAACGGCAGGCGGACTCTCAAGCACTGCGCCACCAGGGAAGCCCCCCAAAACAATTTTATATGGAATGCCAACATGTAAAACAAGTAAAAGTAGAGCTACTTTCTAACTAAAGAGTGACAAGGTCACTCCAGCATGGCTTCCTCCTGTGGTTTCCTGGAAAACAGTTTAAAGACCATTTAAGAGCCTATCTATTATCTATCTATCTATCTATTATCTACCTATCATCTATCTATCTTTCATCTATTTATCTATCATCTATCATTTGTCTACCTATCTTCTATCTATCATCTATCTATCAATCTATCATCTGTCATCTATCATCTGTCTTTCATCTGTCATCTATTTACCTATCATCTATCATTTGTTTACCTATCATCTATCTATCGTCTATCATCTATCATCTATCTTTCATCTACCATCTATCTATCGTCTACCTATCATCTATCTATTAACTATCATCTATCATGTATTATCTATCATCTATCAATCATCTATCTATCTATCATCTATGTCTACTTTTATATCTATCTATATGAAGGCAATAAAGCAATTAAGAGTATGAGTTGTCAGTGGCAAATCCTGGCTCTACCACTTACTAACTGGGAAACTTTGGACAAATGACTTAACCTCTGTGGTTCAGCTTCCTCACATGTAAAATGGGATTAATAGGGCTGTTGCAAGGAATGAACTAGTTAATATCTGTAAAGTGCCGCTAATGGTGCCTGCCACGTAGTTAACGTACTCTAAGCGGCAGTGTGGAGGGTAGATTGAAAGAGCCTGGAAACACCACTTAGAGGAGAGATGAGAGATGTGAAGTTAAGTGGGTAGCGTTTGGTGACTGGCTGCAGTGGGCAGGGTGAGGAATTTGCTGAGGATGATCTCAAAGTTTTTAGCTTGAAATTGGTAGACTTCTAATGCCGAAAGATGGAATATGCTTACTATCTGCATGCTTCACCTCAATACGCATTATGTGTAGGGTGCCGGACATACTAAGAACCAGGAACCTACAATCTGGTTGGGAGTTAGACATGAATAAAAAAAAAAAATTTCAATATAAGGGAAAAGATGCTATCTAGGTGACAGAAATGGCAGGAGTAAAGGCACAGAAATCTCACTTGGTCAGACTAGAGCAGCACTCTCCAACAGAAGTATCATGCAAGCCACAGATGTCATTTAAAAATTTCTAGGGGAACTTCCCTAGCGGTCCAGTGGTTAAGCCTCTGCGTTTCCAATGCAGGGGGCGTGGGTTCAATCTCTGGCTGAGGAACTAAGATCCCACATGCCACACAGTGTGGCCAAAAAAAGAAAAAAAAATTCTAGTAGCCACATTAAAAAAAATGTAAGAAACAGGTGAAAATAATACATTTAACCCAGCATAGCAAAAATATTACCACTATAATATGTAATCAACATTAAAATGTGATATACACACACACACACACACACACACACACACACACACACACACACACATATATATATACTTGGTGTCAAGTCTTAGAAATCTGCTATGTATCTTACACTCACAGCACATCGCAGTTCAGACTAGCCATATTTCAAGTACTCAATAGCCACATGTGGCTAGTGACTTCCATACTGGACAGTGCAGACTACAGGAATAATGGAGGTTCTAGTTAGAGGTAAGGGTCCAACTAGCAGGAGTCTGAATGCCAGACTAAAGAAAATGGAAAGCCTATGAAAGATTGAGATGATAAAGCAGGTTTTGTTTTGTTGTTTGTTTTTAGTTTTTTTTTTTGGTCACGCCGTGCGGCATGTGGGATCTTAGTTCCCCGACCAGGGATCGAACCCATGCCCCCTGCAGTGGAAGCGTGGAGTCTTAACCCCTGGACCGCCAGGGAAGTCCCAATAACGCAGTTTTTAAAAAGTTAACCCAGTGGTGCTACACAGGATTAAGAATGGAGATTGTCCTTAATTTCTGTCACTGTACAATACTTCCTTCATTCTGTGACAGTTTCTCCCTGTCAAGAGCTTATCAGTGATAGTGCAGACAGCCTTCACAAGCAGGTCTTTTGTATATCCAGCAAACAACAGGTTTGCTAGATGGTGAGGCTTGGGAAACTGGGGCACAGAGGTATGCAGATGCTTTCCTTTAGATAACATGCTCTTAGATCATAAGGCTACATCTCTGTGTGGTATCAAAGCATGGCTAGGCACTAAGAAAAAGACCTTTGACAATGTTGATGAAAGTTGAGATTCAGCCAGAGTATCAAAACACTGCAGATTGACATGCCACAAGTATATCAGGGGTGACTCAGTGAACAAATTATTTAGATCCTTCTAATGACAGTATGCACCTAAACTGGATTCCTTCAAAATCTGAGGTAGTCATTGCTCCTTAAAAATGTGCCTTCCAATTTCAATGCTCCCTTCCCTTCCCAGCTACCCCATGCTTCCTGAGGATCCACGTCAGCTAGCAACCAAGGCACAGACTGATTTGCTGACATCTTCATTCCTCAGGCATTAATCCTAGGCAGAGACAATTTACGGAATGCATCCTGCCTGGTTTTGGCAGAATGGGAAATAGTTATCTGAAGACCCCTGAGGGCCTCCAGGGAATAGCACCTTCATCTTCCAACTTTAGAACGAATTGTCCTGATGTAATAAGCAAAGGATATAGGAAATTAACAACTCTGATACCCTCACTAATAAAGCATCTATCTGCATGCCATGTTGTGGTAAGTACTAAGTAAAGATATCTCTGACTTCAAGGAGATTCAAATATAATATTCAAGAATAATTGCTTACACAAAGACTTGGTTTCTTTCAACTTAAATTGCTGAAGTTGTTGGGCATTATAAAAACTGATTATTAACGGAAACAAACTTGTACATAGAGCAAAGGGTCTATAAAATTCTTAGTTCACCACTAGATAACCAAAATCCTCCCCGACACTTTATTTTTGGCTGCGTTGGGTCTTTGTTGCTGTGCGTGGGCTTTCTCTAGTTGCGGAGAGTGGGGGCTACTCTTCATTGCGGTGCGCAGGCTTATTGTGGTGGCTTCTCTTGTTGCGGAGCAGGGCTCTAGGCGTGCAGGCTCAGTAGTTGTGGCACACGGGCTCAGTAGTTGTGGCACACGGGCTCAGTAGTTGTGGCTCCCGGGCTCTAGAGCGCAGGCTCAGTAGTTGTGGTGCACAGGCTTAGTTGCTCCGTGGCAAGTGGGATCTTCCCGGACCAGGGCAGGCAAATTCTCAACCACTGCGCCACCAGGGAAGCCCCCGACACTTCTTAAAATTGGGAAACAAAAAAGTCCCTCTGAAAATCTGTCCAACCTTTCCAGGATTTTAAGATGTAAGCTGTGGTTAACAGACAAGGCTCCTTTCAGAACAGTATCACTGTCAAAAACAGTATCACTGTCAAAACACAAATTCTCTGAATCTGTTTCTCAACCTCAACACTGCTATGGAGATTAAACAATGTGTAAGGAAATATACTATTATGGACAATGTCAGGTTTTTGTTGTTTGGCGCATTAGAAATGTTCTTGGCCCTCATGCAGGAACAGCTGGAGGAAATGGAAGAACAACAGAGGCAGCTAAGAAGCGGGGTGCAACTCCAGCAACAGAGGAACAAAGAGATGGAGCAGCTAAAGATCAGCCTTGCTGAAGAGCTCTCAACGTACAAGTCAGTTTTTGCTGCTACCCAAATCTCAACTAACACTGGCTGAGGGAATGGTGGGGAGGGCAGATGTTGCTCAGGGGAAATTTCTCTTGACAGTGAAAAGCAAAAAAAAAAAAAAAAAAAAGAAAAATGGGGGAAAATTTTCAAATTATGCTCATCCATGAACAGATGGAAAATGGCTTTTTTTTTAAACGGCTATGCTACCCAAGAGCCTGGAACAGGCTAATGCTCCCACTTCTGAGGCAGGTGGAATCCAGACACAGCCGCAAGGTGATCCTTGTAGGTTACAAGAGCAGTGTCTGCATTGTTGCTGCTTTCCTAACAAGACTAGTGCCTTAAAAAAAGATTGTGTGTCTAATGACAAGTAAGTCATTTAGGGATAACACATACTTCCAGGTTGCCTGGTTCAAGCATTCAGGCTTCATTTGGAATGTTTTGATTTCTAGTAGGACTTAAAATATGTCCTGATTATCATCAGGAAATCCAGAACAGGATAAAACATCTAGGCTCTGTGCATTCTTACTTTCCTCACCCTACGTGACCCCATCTGCTATTCATAAAGTTTCCTTAGAATAGCAGAGAAGGCAGTTAGAGTACCTAATTCAGACTATGACTAAGGAGGCCAAGAAGGCTAAATTAATCTGTTAACAGTCATTTACAAAGCTGAAGAGGGTGTGGTTTGTAGACTGAAGGACATGATTATTGCTTAATTTGTGAAAAAAGCAACACACCTATCCATTAAGTTCTTTACATACCAATATGTGCTCACATTCTTTATAAAGTGCTAGATTCTCTTGGATAAAGAAACTAAGGATTAAAAAAGATCAAGTTGGATACTAGATATCCATAAATTTTTATTAATTTCCTAGTTAATCCTACATTTTGGATACAAATTCACAAATAACTATTATTACTGATGCTTTTCCTAAATTACTAGGATTTTTTTTTTTCTTTGGCCAGCCTGCGTGGCTTGCAGGAGTTCCCCGATCAGGGATTGAACCTTGGGCCACAGCAGCGAAAGCGCTGAATCCTAACCACTAGAACATCAGGGAACTCCCAAACTAGGATTTTCTTTACCATGTTTCATCCAGGAATAACTGACTATGCCCATTGTTTGGGAGATTACTAGAACCTTGTAACTGAAGAAAATGATCTGCTAAACACCTTTGTGTGGATAAGATGAAAAGTACATGGAAAAGACAATGATTAATCCAAAGAATCGAAATTACAGAATTTCAGGCCTTGTAATACCTGTGTGTAAAGTTAAGTGGGCAGAAAAACTTTTTAGCTAGCCCCTCCCAAAGTCATTCTTGATTAGATGCAAAACACACTCTAGCAATCTCTCCTTAATATGGCCTGCATTAAGCTTCAGAAATTCATTATTAAAAACTTTATACTGGGAATTCCCTGGTGGTCCAGTGGTTAGGACTCAGCACTTTCACTGCTGTGGGCACAGGTTCAATCCCTGGTCAGGGAACTAAGATCCCGCAAGCCATGCAGCGCACCCAAAAAAACCAAAAAAAACAAACAAAAAAACCCCAGAAAAACTTTATACTGTATTATTTCAAGTTGCAGAAAGTTTAAACTTATCCTTTTTTCTCTCAACCTTACAGGGGCTGTTTAGAAACATATGGCCGAATCTGTAACCAAGAAACAACAAAAAAAACTTCTTAGCAAAGGATCACTAAGTACCCTTTGGACATACTTTTTTCTAAACAGAGAAGGGAGTGCCAGGGATTTGGCAAGCAGTTCACTCTGGGAAAATTACAAATACTGGCTGACCTGTTTAAAAAGATTCTAGGGCTGGCTGGAGGCAGAATACTATCAGTCAACTCTTAGCTGGATTCTATTTCATAGGTTGCTGGTACTGATTTCAATGCACTGAGAAATGGAAAAATAAGTCTCCTGTCACCCATCAGCAACCCTCCACACGCACAAAGTAAAGGAATAATGTATGGACACACCTTGCTGTATTGTGAAGAATGTATCTTACCTTCTGTTGAACCAAAGCAGAAAGTTTTTCAGGAACACAGGTGGAGTCAAAAAGGCAGACTATTTTCCTTATATTCAAGTTGACCCCTGAACAACGTGGCGGTTAATCTGCATATAACTTAGTTGGCCCTCGGTATCCGAGGTTCCTCCACATCCATGGACTCAACCAACCACTGCAGGTATAGTACTGTGGTATTTGCTATTGAAAAGTATGTTGTAAGTGGACCTGTGCAGTTCAAACCCACGTTGTTCAAGGGTCAGCTGTACATGGGTTTACAATTTGAATTCTTTTGTGCCATGAATGTTAGACTTTAATTGAATCCCTTTACAAAGTTTACTTTTCTTTAAGCCTGTGCTGATTCATGTAGATTTACTCTTGTGTCATGGTAATTTTCACAATACTCTAAAAGAACTACTGGGCTTCCCTGGTGGCGCAGTAGTTGAGAGTCTGCCTGCCGATGCAGGGGGACGCAGGTTCGTGCCCCGGTCCAGGAAGATCCCACATGCTGCGGAGCGGCTGGGCCCGTGAGCCATGGCCGCTGAGCCTGCGCATCCGGAGCCTGTGCTCCGCAGTGGGAGAGGCCACAACAGTGAGAGGCCCGCGTACTGCAAAAAAACCCCCACTGACTTAGAAAAAAGAACCAATCCAGATTTCCCCAAAGATGATTTTGATTTTTCACCTCATGAAAATGATTCTGGGTCAGAGTGATCTACTCCATTAAATTGGGTGATTGAAGAACCCGGCATTTTACCTGGTTATGGCACTTGGCTTTCAAGAGCCTATTTTTCTAACCTCTAAGTACAGGCCCCAGTGAAAAATATACTGGGGAGATTCAACCTCTCTATGAGAAAAGGTCAAACACCTTTTCCGAATTCAAATTTTGCCTTAAATTCTCTCTGCCACATTGCCTCTGACATTCTTTTTTCTTTTTTTTTTTTTTGCGGTACACAGGCTTCTCACTGTTGTGGCCTCTCCCGTTGCGGAGCACAGGCTCCGGACGCGCAGGCTCAGCGGCCGTGGCTCACGGACCCAGCTGGTCCGCGGCATGTGGGATCTTCCCAGACCGGGGCACGAACCCGTGTCCCCTGCATCGGCAGGCAGACTCCCAACCACTGCGCCACCAGGGAAGCCCAGCCCCTGACATTCTTGAATGTTCATGTAGTTCTCCAGAGATAGACTTCAAAAAGACGTTATTTTATCAAAGACTAATCTGTGCACCTCTGATTCAGCATTTTATGTCTTTCACTTCCCCTGGGAAGGAGTAAAGCTCTTTGCTATACCTCTGGGTCTATTATATTTAATTCTGCTCTTGGTAGTCAAAGACCATAGAAAATTAACTGTCACCTGAACAACTCTTCTAGACGCCAGAGACTGGTGTTTGATCGATATTATATATTAAATAAAACCCATCAGCGTGGGATTATGTAGAAAAGCAATTTATTCCATTATAAGCACTTACACAGTTAGTCATGGAGAGTAACAGGCCTGCTGGTGAAACAGGTCACCCAAAATAGAGATGGTATCAAACTAGTGGTCAAGGACTAACTCCTTAAAAAAAAAAAAAAAAAGCAACTCTTATCCAGGATTAATTTAATTTTAAAAACAAATACAAGCTATTGATTCGCTCTTCTCAATTTAACTGGACAGTCTACCTGTGGTATAACTGTCAGGTAAAAACATACATCTTTACAACTTGGTGGTCCCAAGTTTTTTTTTTGTTTTTTTTGTTTAAACCATTTCACAGAAAGGAAAGAAATAATATGAAAACAGCTCAAGAAATACACTAACAAGCAAAAATATATGGGGAAAGAGGAACACATTGTTTTGACTTAACTGAAGAAACTGAGAGGAGACTGGTCTATGTAAGAAAATGTGTATCCTGGCAAGTTCGGTGTGAAGATTTTAGAGCAGGAATTTATATGACTTGAATCTCCCCTATTTCCTGAATAAAAATGACATCTTGTAATATTTATACTTCATGGCTCAGACACCTACCTCACTTGGCTCTATTTCTTAATCACTCTAGCATTTACTTAAATGAGTCAGAAAAACTTGGGGATACAGCATAAGAAGAAAAATAACCACTCACAATATTCCCCTTTTTGTGGCTACTTTAGACCTCTGTTACTAGAAAATTCCTGAAGAAAATTTAAATATAAGTCTGTGGCTTTCCTGAATCAAGAAGCCCCCAGTTAATATTTAGAAAACACCTTCTGTTTGGACTAATAACATTGTTGATAGAACTTATTTTAGAGGGATAACCAACGTCTGTGTCTCAAAACCAGTGTTAAATCAATCTCAGGGTTGAGAGGAAGAAAAGGGGAGTCTAAAATCACAAGAAGTGCAGACATTCTCTAGGATCCTTGTCCTTCTGGATCCACGCTTCCTTCAGGGTCTTCGTCATTATAAATGTTCTCTGCCTGCCAAAAACAAGAAAAAGAGAAAAGGATATTGAGTAAACATGAAAGTTACTTCTTGAAGTTAAAGTTTCAAATAGACAAGGCCAGGGAGACAGACTGTGGGGCATATAGTCTGTTTTAACTATTCAACTCTGCAGTTGTTGGATGAAAGTAGCCACAGACAACCTGCAAATGGGTAAGTATAGTTGCGTGCCAAATAAGACAGGCAGCTGGCCACAGGCCAACCCCCCGGATTAGGATAGTCCCTAAAAACTGAAGTATTGTTACCATTTGTCTTGATAATCAACCTTGAGTCTTTTAATCAGACATTATTCGTAACAGTCAAAAAGTAAAAACAACACAAATGTCCATCAACTGATAAATGGACAAATAAAATGATATATCCATACAATGGAGTATTATTTGGCAATAAAAAAAGTCAGTCACATATTGTATGATTTCATTTATATTAAATGTGCAGAATAGGCAAATCCACAGAGAAAGTAGATTAATGGTTGCCTAGTACTGGGTGGACTGGAGGCAAATGGGAGGGATGGCTACTGGGTGTGGGGTTTCTTTCTGGGGTAACTGACTGTAGTGATGGTTGCACAATTCTGTGACTGTACTGCAAAAACCATGTTCTAAATCTCAATTTATAAATATTTTAAAAAGAGAAACTGTTCTTGCATAAAATAAACTCTACTTGTACGACTTGATGAAATACCCATATCCAAGAGCATCTTAAACAGAGACCACTTTCACTTGGGCAAAACTTACTGTTCTCAGTATCTACTATGCACTTAGTATCACTAGGGTAGGTGCTACAGAGGATGGGATAGTCTTAGCTTTCAATCTGACTACAGGGACAAACAATGTACACAATTATGTGAGTAGTCTGACAACAAAAGTGTGATATCTTCTCCCCTGACACTAATGGGGTGTCCAACAACTCAGTTCAATCCTGATGCTGACCACCTGGAGATAGCACTGTGACCAAGGGCTCAACCCCACAAGACTACCCTCACTTCAGCAGAGGCCAGTGTCAAGCCCTGAGTGCCCAGGCTACCCAAGTACTCCTGCCCAACTTGGCTATAAATTTTCTCACAGCCAGGTTTGATGATTTGCTGGAATGATTCACAGAACTCAGGAAAGCGCTCTACTGGTTTATTATAAAGAGTATAACTCAGGAATGGCCAAATGGAAGAGATGCACAGGGCAAGGTGGGGATGGAGCACAGAGCTTCCACACCCTTTCTGGTGGCATTGATATATTCACCAACCCAGAAGCTCATGAAATCAAAAGCTTTTTATGGAGCTTTCCCAAGAGTTTTTATAGGGGCCCCCTTAAGTTACCCCCTTAGCCTAAACTCAGGTGAGGCCAAAAGCAGCTACTTATAAATAGCAATAGAGACTCCTACCACTCAGGAAATCCCAAGGGTTTTAGGAACTCTGTGCCAGGAACCTGGACAAAGACCAAATGCTTACTACTTATTATACCACAATAATTCTTAAAAACAAAACAAAACAAACACACCCCCCAAAAACGGAGTAAAGTAACAACCTGGACTGGAGGTGATGGCCTTGAAGGTGATGTAGCTTAATCTCCTACAACATTCCCATGACAACCACTAAAATACCTTTCACTGACAGGCTATCTAAGGCAGCCCATTTCACTTTCTTGTTAGAACTCTAATTTTTGATATTAATTTTGTGTGGGTGGGTTACAAGGAAAAGGATAAAGTGGATCCTTATTATAAAAAATTATAATACAGAAAGGTATAAAGAAGAAAACAAGAATTCTCTAAACATACCAACCACATTTTGGCAAATAGCCTTCTATTAAATAGTTACATATAATTAAACATAAGACTAGATACCCAAATTTTAATAAGAGGGATTCTATCATGCTGTTCTATAATTTGCTTTTTTCCTACTTATTAGCATATCATGAATAGCTTATAAAACTAAGTATACTTCATTCTGATACATAATATTCCAAAGTATTGATGCAGTATATAATGTGTTAATCTCATAGGCCACAAATACTCCCATTTTATTTCTTTATTTTTGATTAATAGGGCTATTCCGTAAGAAAGTTCTGAATATCAAAAACTTTTTTCCTCATGTTGAGCCAAAAACTCACCTCTGGTGCTTCTTCCTGGCTCTAGATCTACTCTGAGACACCAAAAGTTTCTTTTGAATTATTTTCATTTATTAGGCTACTGTCACTTAAAAGTCATGCAGTTGTTTTGTAACTTGTGGTAAAAGACACATTACAAAATTTACCATCATAACCG